GGAATGAAACTATCTATTACAAAATTGTTTTAGATTCTGCGTCACGCGAAAAGTGCCTTGTCGGGAAGAGGACTTGGCATTTCGTCGGATAATGGACAACATTCATTGCTGATTTTCAATTCAAAGCTGTATTTTGTTCTTTATGAATTTGTAATGTATTTTAAAGCTTAAGTTTGGATGTTGTAAATTTTGTTCATTGTGATTGCTTCAACTGTCTCGACTAGACTGTGTTTGCAATCAGAATCAATAAACTATTCAGAATCAGTTTTCCATTGCAAAGCCTTTACCCGATGTTTTTGAATAAAACGTAACTCCTTGTCTATGTGTCTCCTTCTCATCATACACACAGTATGATGAGTGAGATAGACATAGGGAAGGGGTCTAAAAAATGGTCTCTTTGACTTGCTTATGACCATACCACGTTGAAAACAAGGCATCCCGTCCGATCTGCGAAGTTAAGCAACGTTGGGCTCGGTTAGTACTTGGATCGGAGACGGCTTGAGAATTTCGAGCGTCGTAAGCTTTTTTGGCTTTTGTTAGACACTCACTAAACCACAGAGAGCATGTGTTAAAGTTAGAAATCTCGAATCGAATTTTTTTCCACGTCCCACCAGCGTCCACAATAGCAAAATGAAGAGCGGGCTTTTTTCGCCTGGGTCTGCGTTTCGACGCAATTGCTTAGCAGATCGGACGGGATGCCGTGTTTTCAACGTGGTATGGTCGTAAGCAAGAGGCGCACTGTGACGTTGACATGTCAAGTGATCGAACAAAAAGAGAGAGTGCACCTCTCTCTGTTTCACCCCCGAAGCGATCGTTCACTCAAATGATGGTTTGTTAGTGTGGTTGAATGAAGAAAAAATACCTGAGTTTCGAGAATTTTACTTTCAACAAAAGAAAAATGAACAAGAAACGCTGATAGCGCTGGTTTTGGATCGAAAGTGGTGTGGAGTCAAGCCAAGAATTGACATGAATGTGATATTTATACCGAGATTGAATCATTCGGTTTGATTCCAATTTGGTAACAAAAAAGGCGAAACCTCATCAATTCCAGTTGTAGTTTTAAAAATAATTTTGTTTTGTTCCATCTTGTGTCAATTCTATTTCTGTTCAATAAATTGTTGATCGAATAAATAAAATATTAATTCTCTACCATCCGTTCATCGCTTATTTGAGGCAAGAAACGCAAAAATAACTTTGTCATTTAACTATGAGCAAATACCTTCTTTATCTGGCTTTCTTCTATTGGGTTGTCCAGTTATGAATGCGCGTTTTTTACTATTTTCTAAATTTCTCAAGATACCGAAATCAAAAAAAAGATATATATGGGTATTATTCGAAAGCTGAAGATTCCCTCTACATTTTAATAAAAAAAATATTTTTTTGAATTTGTTCAGCTTTTGGGCAAATTGACTGCACAGAAGAAGAGGTGGCCAAAAAAATGGAAGGGTGCCTTTGAATCAAGTTTTGGCTTCGCTCCAATTGAGTTAACCGTTTGATATTTTGCCAATAGATATATCCATACAATTTTTGAAAAATATAACAATTTCGGAGCATCTTTTCTTTTCTGGGCGGTTATTTTATACTATAAAACTTGAGGAATAGCTAAGCTGAAACGGGGTTTTTCGAAAACGACCTCTCCCTTTGTGCAGTCAATTTCCCAAAAAGTTGAATGAATTTCAAAACTTTTTTATTCCAAAATGTAGAGGAGATCTTCAGCTTTCGAATGATATATAACACTCATATATATATCTGTTCGATATCTTGAGAAATTTACAAAATAGTAAAAACGCGCATTCATAACTGGACAACCCAATATTTTTTGGCTTTCTCAATTGTTGAGCTAAAGCTCATAGTCTAACAGTTTCTAAACTATTTTGTGATCTTTTTTCAGATGTGCCATGAGGACAGCGAATGTTTGCCGAAGGGTTGTCAACGTGGTAAATGTGGCGGTATTCCGTATCCTTTCTGCAAAGAATTTGTTTCGCAAACCCAATTTTCTTTTGGTTGATGTCATCAAGAACGCATGATTTAACGATTCTTGCATATTATTGTTGACTGTTTTCTGATTACGCAATAGATTTTTGTTGATTCGACTAAAGTACTAAAAGAATCGTTAAATCATGCACTTTTAGCGTAAGTTTACAAAATTTTAGCCGGTTTTGGTCGCTGGGTACATGTGGATGTGATCGTGCTAAAATTTTCGTCAAATTCGCTTTTTGGCCTATAAATTCCTTATTTATGCATGATTTAACGATTTTTGCATATGATTGCTGACTATTTTCTGATTATGCAATAGATTTTTGTTGATTCAACTGGAGTACTAAAAGAATTCCCGTATTTTTGCTCTTTTCACCTCTCAATTTGACCTTTTTAGGCTAGGAATTGTTTGTTTATCACTTTTTCGTAAAAGCGACTGATGTTCGTCGATATATTTTGTCCTTGGAGCATTGAAGCTTGCATCAATTTACCAACCTATCTTAACGAGTTACAAAGTAAATTTATGCTATAAAATAAATAATATTGTGAAATGTTTAGATTTGCACACTTATTTTGAGGGCAGCTCGGCGACACACAGGCCTGAAGGCGTTTTGGGAATGCGTCCACGGTCGAGAGAAAGTAGAGCGTCTCCAGCTCGTCGCAAGCTTTCTGAAGCTAAAGTTGTAGCTAAAGCTATTCAGCTTTACAAGACTCATCAGATGATTGATATTTTGAGAAGCATTTCTGACAAATTGTGTGCCCGCAGGGTAAAACAATTATTTTCTTCAAATCAATCTCTAGTGAATCGGAAAAAATCTTTCGCGGGATTTTGCTTGTTTTCCTTACATTCCCGATTGTCATTTGTCCCATCTGGGCAGAATCAGAGGCTGAATATTTGTGGTTTTAGTGATAAAATGGGAGAATGAATTGATCAAGGAATTTTTGCGGACAAGGAGAAATCAACAAACTCAATCTTTGAAACGAATATAATTCTTTTTATAAAGAATTCTTCTGTATTGAATTGAGTTTTGAAAATTGACTGAAAAACAGAAGGATTTGTTGGTTGTTTTTGTAAAAAGAATGGTGCCAAGTATTGATTTTACTGAAACCAAAAATGATAAATATAAAAAAAAAGAATGAAAACAAAAACATTTTGTCAGTTTAAAGCAATCAGACTTTTCCATTCGGTTTGTTCAACAACTCTTTATATGCTCGAAATTTCTCCTCCAATTCTTGATCTATTTTTGCGATTTTCTCCGAATATGAATCAAGAGTTGACTAAAATTGAGTCATTAAATGAAATGGTTATCAGTTCATGATTTTACCTTGATTCGGATTTGCTTTACTTTCGGGATTTGCTCGATCAATTCGGGGAGTTCACGAAGAAATTCTAAAAGAGAACTTTCTACATGAGTTTTCCTTGAGGAATTGATCGGGAGCAATTTTCGTATTGAACTTTTCACACTGGATTATGTACGAATTTCCTTCTTTACCTCGTAGCCAATGATCTCTCCTTTCGATTGAATGGAATTTTGGATAAGCTGAACGTTTGTTACAAATTGAACATATCATGCGAAACCATCCAAAGAAAGATCTATCAACTGTCCGATGCGTTAAATAACATTTTGTGCAAATTGCGTGTCCACAATCCAGAATAAAGGGCTTGCTTTCATCTTTCTCCATAGAGCCTTAATACAATTTTTGGATTAATCGCCATTTTCTCACATTTCACATCACATTTCGAACATTTAAGTGAGTTGTTGATTGGCTGAAGATTTTACTGAATTTGGTCAATAAAAACTTGCTTTTTAACCTGCGAAAGAAGCCATCCATTTCCATTCGGAGATTCGCTAATTGATGGATCGTTTAAAAGATCTGAAATAATTCGAATGAGAATTCGTCAACGGGAGATTATGGAATTATTACCACGTAAGAAACTGGGGTCTTTGTAAAGAGCATGGCAACTCCAATGAAAGTCACATTGATGTTTTCTTTCTTTTTGTTTCAATGATCTGTCCTTTTCCCAACATTCCTTACAAATCGCTTTTCCACACAATAATTCATGTGGATATTTGGGATCATTACTCGATCTCGAATCTGAAAACCTTGATTTGATTGAAATACAAGAGAAAGTGATAATTAATACGATTGATCTCAGACACTGCAACTCATAATTTTCAGCAAAATTCAACAAAAAAAGTTTGGAATCTTTTAAAAATCTCCTTTTTCTTTTTGTAATTGATAAAGCTCACAAGGAGATTCGCAAAGAGAACAGTTCAATGAGTGGAAAATCTTTAGTTCCGAACTCATCTTTCTAAAAACCGACAAATAAGGAAAAGAAATCGATTTGAAAAGGGAAAATGAGTGAAAATGGAGTGGAAAATGGAGTCAAATTGGGTGATAAGACGTGGTGGAAATGGATTGCAAAAGAAAATTTATGCGTATCCGTATCAATTGTGGCATGAAAATGGCGATTTTCTGGTTTTTTGTAACTAGTTTCAATGCCTGAAAATGAAAGAAAATCAGCTTCATTTACTCCTTTTCACTTATTACTTCCAGAAAACAATGAATTTCGATTAGGGATCAAAGTTCAAAATGTGAATTTGAACCGAGTGCGGGTAATTGTACATCCCCACGCCGCCAATTGATCTAACCATTTTAGATTTATGATATTATTTGATCTACTTGATGCATATATTTATCTAATCTACGCAAAAAAAACTAGAGCCTAAACATAACTTAAACTTGATCTATACACATGATTTTAGAGTAGTCTAACTTGGGTGCACGAGACGCGTGAGGATGTATCACAGGATAGCACCATAATTTCCTTTAATCGCCCTATTTTTTTTGCACTTTTTTACATCATTCAACAACTGTGGTTTTCAGTTTCCCAACACACAAATCTTGAACTGTGTTGAATGCAGTGTAATGTTTAGTCTTTTACTTTACATAAAATGTATATGTAAAGTTTTAAAACTCTAGATTTTTGGGAGTTGTGGTCTCCGAAAACATCGCACTCACACGCTCAATGATCTTCTCGTTGAGGAACAGGTTCCAGTTTGACAAAGTGTCATATTCTGAGCATAGGATTGCAAAATTAGTTCAGAGAACCATCAAAAACAGCTGTTTAGATTAAAACAATGATGGAGGAAACGAGAAATTTCTTCTCTTCTGAACACGACTACTATCAGAATGAGTTCAAAAGTCAGTGTGAAACCGAGCTGCGACGAATGTTTTCGGGAATTAGTTCACTTCAATTGGTCAGCATTTGTTTTACTGAAAAATTTGTAAACTTTAGGAAATTGCGAACAAACTCTCCCAAATGACAGAAAACGATTTGGAAAGGGCAAAATCAGAAGTGAAACGGCTGAAGTTTGAAAAACAGTTATAAGTTACAAGAAAATTTCAGGGGTTTGTACGGCGAAATGAGACTACGGCAAATACGAGGCCCAGAACAAAATGCATTGGGACTATTTACAAGTAATCTAATCAATCCATTAAAGCAGAAATATTTTAGAAACTTCACGAAAAGTTGGGTGACTCAAATGTGAAAGAAAAGGCGAAGACACTGGCAGGCAATGGACTAATGATTGTGCCAAATAATACATTAACTATGGTACCAAAGGCACCATCATCTAATGATAATGAACCAATGGCAGTGCCAGCCAATGTACCACCTAAAGCCTCGCAAAGGGGATCACCACTGGGAAAGCCGAATGTACCAGTGGTAACACCTCGAATGCCAGTGACAGTACCAAGTGCGGCACCAGTGATGGCATCAGTCCAACCCACATCGTTTCCCGGAGGAACTGTGGAAAGACGGAATCAACGAGAACCCTGACCTCATTCCCGTGCTCGAAAAGATTTCTTCAAATCACGATTTATTATATTTCCCAGCAATGTCTTACCTGCTACTCAATAAAAAGTCTTTTTTCTTTTGAAAAGCTAAATATCTCGTATTTTACTGATTTTCAACCTCTTCATCCATTTTTTTGGTTGTTTTAGCTATACAGGGTTGTCCAGGATTACGGTGACTAGGGTTTTCTTTGATATTGCATATTTTTGCTTACAACCTATATATTGTTTTTATCTTTCTTTTCATTTATTTTACGAACATGGTCTGAACATTTTACGAACATGAACTAGATCTGTACAGTTCTTTAGTCATGTTCTTTAGTCCCGGACAACCCTTTACATCTTGCTTTCATCTTGCGACCAAATATAGCAATTAAGCTAGCCTTTGTTCAAGTGATTTTTCAAGGATAAATTTATAACTGTACACAAAATCACGCAAATTTTACCGGTATAACAGTTCGAGCAAGAGATTTTGGAGGAATTTGAATGCTTCTTTGAGGTTTATTTGCAGAAATGGGCTTATTTTCTTCCGATTCCAGCGTTTTGACCGTTGTTGGGAGATCCGCCTTGTTGGCCACCGAATCCACCTGAAATCCCACAATTTCAAATAATATTCAGTTGTATAATTGATTAGAATTTGTTTAAAACTGATTTTTAGCCATTTTTACAACAAACCTTGTCCTCCGAATCCGCCATTTTGTCCATTTTGTCCGCTTTGTCCACCGAATCCGCCTGAAATTTCAGAAATATAATTAGAATCGTTTTTGTATTCAAATTTAGAGATTTATATGCAAGCTTTGAATCACTTTATCATTATCTACCTTGTCCACCGAATCCACCTGTAATATTCAATTTATAGGATTCATTATCTACCGTAATCATTAGTATCAATAGGATTGCTGTGTAGAAATTTTATTGAAATAAAAATACAGTATTCTAATCTATTGTTAAAGTTTTATCAAAAAAACGAACCCTGGCCTTGCCCACCGAATCCGTTTTGGCCGTTTTGTCCGTTTTGTCCGTTTTGCCCGCCGAATTGTCCTTGTCCACCGAATCCACCTGTAATATCGAAATTTTATATGATATTTAGCTATAATTTTAGATAACATATGCAATTTGAAGTAATCCTTAGAATTTCCGATTAAACAAACCTTGCCCTTGTCCTCCAAATCCGTTTTGGCCGTTTTGTCCGTTTTGCCCGCTGAATTGCCCTTGTCCACCGAATCCACCTGAAATTGTTAAAAATGAATGAAAGATATTATATATCTGTAGTTTTAACATTTTATGCACATCTCTTACTTTAATAAGTGTATTAATATTTTTACCAACCTTGTCCTTGTCCTCCAAATCCACCCTGTCCTTGTCCATTTCCGTTTCCACCGAAACCTCCTAGAAAGAAAACTACCATTTCGAGATAATTTGCTTTTATTTTTATTATATAAACTAAAAATCTATATATTAATGAAACTTTATGCAATTTCCCCTCACCCTGTCCAGATCCACCGTTGAATCCGCCCTCGAAACCATCATCTCCATCGTCTTGGCTACTGCTACTGTCTAGAAAAGATTAGATATATAAATTTATATGTAAATCTAGATTTATCTATATCTATATGTTGACCAACCAGTTCCATTCCCTCTCGTGTGATTTCTGTGATGATGGCCGTGATGAGTGCCATTTCCTAAACCATCCAATCCACCGTTTTGGTTCTGATCTTGGTTGTTGCTGTTGCCCCAAGGCCATTGGCTGAAATGTAGGTTGATATATGTAAATTTATGGCTCTTCTTGAGTCATTAATTCTACTTCGCAATCAGCTTTAAAATCAGACTCATCCAATGAATATTCCAAAATTGAAACCCACAAAGCAGTAAGAACAGCGAAAAGAGCTGAGGCAAGGAGCAGCGTCTTCATTTTCAGATTACTGAAGAAAAATAATGAAATTTAGAAAAGAAAAAACTAGTATCTGGATGTCACTCTGACAAGTGACCCCTTTAAATACAAAATTGTCCCCCAAAAGTTGTTGATGTGGATGAGTGGACTGATCTCTATTTGCATATTTATCCTTTTTCAAGGGATTTGAATATTTTCCCGATTTTTTTTCTGTGAATTCGCTATTTGGCAACAGCTGCCCACACAGTGAGTCAGAAATTCTTCAATTTTTTTCCCGATTTTCCAACTTTTCCCTTATATTTTATGATGTCGATGTCTGTCTAGGAAATCTGTTATTTTGAGGTCGAATTGAGAATTTTTCTGGATATTTTTGTTGAACTTTAAGTCCATTTTGACTGGGTTTTTTAGTCACAAATTTGTTATTGTTTTTTTCTGAGGGTTTTTTCAAAAATTTAAACAAACTAGTAACTAGATAATTCGAAAAAAATAGAAACATCAATATTTGTCACCCTGAGCCGTTCTTATCCCTCAACTCCATTCCAACTTTTTCTACTTTTCAAGTCGATTTGCACTTGAAGCTCTCTGCATCACTTAGTCTTTGTCAATTTCTGCAAGATGAGTTCTGAACTGAAAGTTTTCCAATCATTAAACAGTTCACTATGCAAATCTCCGTGTGAATTTTACCAAAAGAGACTCAATTTATAGTCAGCTGTGGATTTATAGTCCGTTCCCCAAATCTGTCAAAAAAGTCCAAAAATCCAAAAAGGGCCCCAAATTTTTTCCCAAGCCCCCAGCGGAAAAGACGAACGATAAAACTTTAAGTGTCATTCTAAAGATCAAAGTGAATCTATTGAAAAAGGTTGATTCTAAAAGAAGTTGTAAAAGAAAAAAACCGAAGAAGAGTTTATGAATCTTTAAGATGAACACTTCTATTATAAAAGCCCTTGTAGTCGAGTGTTTGAATGATTTAAAGACCCATTTTACATCAGGAAACATTTATTCGAACACATCACATAAACTATTAGGCCAAACGAAAAGTCTTTTCGGAGTTTTCAAAGTAGTTTAGCGACAACAACTGTGCCCGTCACATAAACTTTACTAACCCTATGGCAAGCTCGATCTCCCAAATGTCGTCATTTCCACCACTGCCAAGTGAGTCTTTCCACTTCAAAACGATTGTTTCTACAACAGACTTCACAAGCAAAATGCATTCACCTTTAGTTATTGTGCAGACAAGAACAGAATTCTTTGTTTCAATCCATCCATCACATTTTGTTTTGCATCCCAACTCTATGCCTCTGCTTCTGCACTTGTTTTAAGGGTAACATCGAACTCGATTGGTGGATAGCCAAACAAAACGCTTGCCTCATTTTAATGCTTGCATTGAGATTGGATCTATGCGTTTTAAGCCAATGAAAGAACTCAATGTTCGAAATATTTGCAGAGTTTGAACATTGGCACCGAAATTTCTCTGGAAGCTTGCGATCAAAATTTTCGGCCAACGTGTCACCAAATATTACTTACGAAAAGATAATCATTTCTATGGAGTTTCTATGGAGAATGAGTGTGACATTTTGAGAAAACTAACTCATCCAAACATCGTCGTTTTCTTGGGCTCTGTGATGAGTCCTTAGTTGAGCATTGTAATGAAATATTGTGAAAGGGGATCAATAGCTAAAAGTAGGTTTTAGTGCAGAGCCATTACCACATTTGCGGCAAAACCAGTTTTTGGTGTTTTGGGCCCTGGGACCAGAGTATTTTTAAGCTGAATACGGTCATAAAGTTTAATCAGGGTTTCCGGTGATCGGAGATCCGAATTCAGTGTTTAAAGTTTTGTGAGTAAAAACTAAAGTTCCGTAATTTCTTTTATGGACTCAAGATCGTTAAAATCTCCGGGTTTTAGTTTTAGCCCACGGCCGAGAGGGAATGGAACTGGTTAGTCAACATATAGATATATATATAATCTAGATTTACATATAAATTTATATATTTAATCTTTTCTAGACAGTAACAGTAGCCAAGACGATGGAGATGATGGTTTCGAGGGCGGATTCAACGGTGGATTTGAACAGGGTGAGGGGAAATTGCATAAAATTTATTCTTTACTATATAGATTTTGATTTTATATAATAAAAAAAAGCAAATTATCTTTAAATGGTAGTTTTTTTTCCAGGAGGTTTCGGTGGAAACGGAAATGGACAAGGACAGGGTGGATTTGGAGGACAAGCACAAGGTTGGTTAAAATATTAATACACTTATCAAAGTAAGAAATGTGCATAAAATGTTAAAACTACAGATATATAATATCTTTTATTCATTTCTAACAATTTCAGGTGGATTCGGTGGACAAGGGCAATTCGGCGGGCAAAACGGACAAAATGGACAGAATGGATTCGGAGGACAAGGCCAGGGTTCGTGACTCTGATAAAATATTCAACAAAACTTTGAATAACTTCTAAAATGATAATAAAATATGTATCATCAATACTACAGTACTCCAATAGCACTTCCGTAACACACGTTTAAACTCCGATTTCTCCAGACGACTGAAAAAGGACACTTTCCCCGATTGCGCTACCATAGTCGTTTCCTATTTTCCACTAACTATAAGACCAATAAACGCCAATTTCTACAGTAACCCTATTGATACGAATGATTACTGTAGATAATATATTCTATAAATTGGATATTCCAGGTGGATTCGCTGGACAAGGGCAATTTGGCGGACAAAATGGGCAAAATGGACGGAACGGATTTGGCGGACAAGGTATGAATGAAAAGTTTTTGTAAATTCACATATAAACACCTAAATTTGAATACGAATATGATGCCCAGCACCTTAAATTTGTTGAAATTCCAGGCGGATTCGGTGGAGAAGGGCAGTTTGGCGGACAAAATGGACAAAGTGGTGGATTCGGAGGACAAGGTTTGACATAAAAATCGATAACAAAAAGTTTTTAAATAAACTTTAATTAATATTATAACCGAATATTATTTGAAATTCTGCGATTTCAGGTGGATTCGGTAGACAAGAAGGCGGATCTCCCAACAACGGTCAAAACGGTGGATTCGGAGGAAAATAAGCCGATTTCTGCAAATAAACCTCAACCAAGCATTAAAATTTCCGCGAAAATCTCTTGCTCTAAAATTACCGGTAAAATTTTGTGTGATTTTGTGTACAGTCATAAATTTATCTTTGAAGAAAATGACAACGAAATTTTGATAGCATTATTGAGTAGCAGGATTGATGTTAGTGGGAAATATAAAAAAGCGTGAGTTGAAGGAATGTTTGCGAGCAGGGCAATCAGGCCGGGGTTCCCGTTGATTCCGTCTTTCCACAGCTTCTACGGAAAACGATGTGGGTTGCCCAGATTGGCCCAATAATGGAAGGGACCTTAACATTGTTTTTGCTTTCTGGATTCCGTGGCACCGCTGTTGACGCTGGTACATTGACTGGTACTGACATTGATACACCATTTGGCAATGTCATTGTCATACTGTCTAGCACATCTGGTCTTCTCGATCAATGGTGTGGCACTTGGTAATGTCACTGGCATTCGTGGTGTTACCACTTTTTACATTCGGCTTTCTCAGTGGTGGTCCTCTTTGCGAGGCATTAGTTGCTACACTGACTGGCACTGCCATTGGTTCATTATCATTAGATCATGGTGCCATTGGTACCATAGTTAAGGTATTATTTGGCAAAAATCATTGGCTCATTTGAAGTCGGCACTGTAGGCTTTCTGTTTTTTAGCACCTCCCATCACCTAAAAAGCAAATTATCAATGCAAGAAGATGTAAAAAAGCGAAAGAATAGTGCGATTAAATGAAATTATGGTGCTATCCTGTTATACATCCGCACACGTTTTGTGCACCCAAATTCGACTACTCTAAAATCATGTGTTTAGATTAAGTTTAAGATATGTTTAGGCTACAGTTTTTGCCAAGATTAGATAAACATATGCATCAAGTAAATAAAATAATATTATAAATCTAGAATGGTTAGGTCAATTGGCGGCGTTTTTTTTCTTAGGAGTTGCTGTGGTGGTATTTTGTTCGCGGTGTTCACGAATCTTAGAGCAATGAACATTATGAAATCGACAAGCTTTTCCTCATAAAAGTTCGGAGATTTTTGGCATCTCGTCGTAGTTATTGTTGTCATTTTTTGCCTCCGCCTCTTTCGGGTTTTTCTTTGAAAAACGAACGGCCTTGAGTTTAAAGGCGGCACTGTAGGCTTGCGTAATTAGATAAACATATGCATCAAGTAAGTAAAATAATATTATAAATCTAGAATGGTTAGGCCAATTGGCGGCGTGCGGATGTGGAGAGTAGGGATGTACAATTACTCAGTTCAAATTCACATTTTCAACTTTGATCCTAATCGAAATTCATTATTTTCTAGTGAAAATGAGCTAGATATTGGAAATAATAAGTAAAAAGGAGTAAATGAAGTTGATTTTCTTTGATTTTCAGGCATTGAAACCAGTTACAAAAACCACCAAAACGCGATGCCGCTTCAGAAGCGCGGAGAATCTTCCAGCGGAGGATTCGTCAAAGATGTGAAATTGAAACAAAGATAGATCTGCTTTTGCAGACAAAAAAAAAATGTTTTCTTTTCTTTTTTCTTTTATTGACAAGTTCTCTCTGTTCGCAAAAATTTCTAAGGCTTTTTCTAAAGATATTCCTTATAACAATGAGATTGATTTTGATTTTTGATTAAAGATGATTAAAAAAAGATTTTAGTGAAGATTTGTGACCTGAAATGCTAACCGGTTCAGTTGAATTGTG